TACAAGGCCCCACAGGACACAGCTTGAGACTTCCTGTCCCTCTTTATCCTTTAGCACAATCTATTCCAGCCACCAATGTTTCAATTGCTATTCTTGTAACACAGCACACTACTGTCTCAGAGCCCTAGTATTTAATGTTCCTTTTTTTGAATGTTCTTCCTTGTTTATTTCAAGCTTCTACTTACATATTACCAACTCATAGTGGACTTGCTTAACAATTCAATTTAAAATAGTCTCCCACTCTAAATTTATATCTCCTTATTTGTTTAATTTATTCATAATTCTTACTATGTCTTGGTATATTTTATATCATTTTGTTCACTGTTATACCCCCAGCTTCCTGAAGAGTGAGCGGTATATATTTGGCCTTCAATAAATATAAACTAAATAAGTAAATGAGTTAATTAATCAATTAAGGCAACTTAAATTGTGTTTGCTCTCACTTCCAAACTGTGGGTTAGTAAAAACAAATGATAAAATAATGATAAAAAGGAAATTAAACAATGATGAAAATACTAATTATATAGGCAATGCATGCAGTGCTTGCTATAATGATTATTTTATTAAATTATATTATATTATTAAAATATAATAACTTAATTTTCACAACAATCCTAAGAGTGGTGAAAATCTGTCCCTGTTTTGTTGTAAGAATACTGAAGCATAAGAATGGTGGACTCCTTTCACAAGGCTATTAAGTGGAGAAGCCAGTATACATTAATCATCAGCATGCATTGATTTATCCTATGGTAAGGAGTGTAAATTCATAGAACAGTACCTACATAGGGAAATAATCTGATTTTCAATGTCTTATCTGTACATACATGGTGACACAGAAGAGTGGATAGCATACTCCCAACCAATTTAATACACGGCTGCCTCAGCCTCAACATTCTCATTATGGGTCATGTATCTGCTACTGATAATGCTTGACTAGAAATGGGGATTATGTCAAATCCTTAAAAAAATTAAATCTGGGTTCCTCTCAAAGAATATTTATGCCTCCATGGCTATTGTTAATTGCCTGGAGAAAAAGAAAATCTTGTCAGATGTTTGCCTTCTCCTGATGCAAATAGATACAGGTCATAAAAATGTATGTAAAATAGTTTGTAGGCACTAGAGCTTTCCTCACACCAATTACTTTTGTCAACACAGATGTTAAAGCCCCAACACCTTACCACGGACACTCCATAGACCAGGCTGAATTCAATGTCCAATTTTCACATGTGATCAGCATATGCCAATTCAAGTAAGAAGAATTCTCAGGCAAACCTGAAATTTTATTTTTACATAAACCAGAGCCATTTTACATAAACAAATGCCATGTTTCCTGGATCACCACTACTCTTTCCCTGAATAATATATTTCTCTCCAGTAAAGATCTATATAGCGATCTAAAAACATAAACTAAAAGATATTAACTTATTAAGAATACCTCATAAATTGTGTAGATACTGAAGTTAATGCATTTAATAATTTTAAGAAAAGTGGGTGAAGGTCTTTGTCTTAATTATAATATAGGTTTATATAAATGTACTAGAGGCCTGGTACATGAAAATTCATGCACTGGAGGGGGGGTTCCTCAGCCTAGCCTGCCCCCTCTCACAGTTCAGGAGACCTCAGGGATGGGAGGAAACCCGGTGATCAGGGGAAGGTGATGCCCCACACAATTCTGCTGCTGGCAGTGCAAGCCTCTGCCAGCCCTGGGTGGCTGGGCAGCCACCATCCAAGGCTAGCCTGTGCCTCGAACCAATCCTGGGCGGCTGGGGGACTGAGGGGACTGGGAGACTCCAGAGGCAGGCTCCACGGCAGGGCTGAGGGGAGTGGGCACTGCAATCTTGTGGCTGTGGGCACCGCCATCTTTGAAGGTGGGGCAGCAATTAGCATATTCCCTCCTTATTGGCTGTGGGAGCCACCATATTTGTGACAGAGTGAGGGTCAATTAGCATATTCCCTCTTTATTAGATAGGATAGGAATAGAGATATCACTGGATTATGCAAGAAATTAGAGGAAGACAAAGGGCGCATGCAGGAGGCAACAAATAGATGTGTTTCTCTCACATGGATGTTTCTCTCTGACTTTCCCTCTCTCTTCCATTCTCCCTAAAAATCAATGGAAAAATATCCTCAGGTGAGGATTAACAACAACAACAACAAAAAATACATAGACATGATTTAGGCTAAATCAGTCTGAAGTCTTTTCAGACTCAGGCCCCTTCCAATTTCATCTTTTATTACCCTTAGGGAGAAACCCTTGTACAAACGATTCAAGGTGGGGCTTCGAGCATGAATCCAGATTTCAAGCAAAGGAAGGCAGAAAAATTAAAAATAAAATGTCATGTCATCATATCACTTCCTGCCAATGACATATCCCGGATACTTGATCAATCACATACCTCTGGACACTGTCTAGAAATTAGTCACACAGTTATACCTAACTTTGAAGAAACTTGATAAATGAAACCTGAAATCTTGATAGCCACATATATAGCAAAAAATCAGAAAATTATCATAGAAGAAAAAGGACAAACAAATGGTGCAGAATAACATCATCTGTCACAGTTGCTATGATGTAATACAGTTAGAGTCAATTTTTTAAATCACACCTTGAATGGAGTCAGTCTTCCTGTGAAGATGAGGGTACTGGATACTAGATACAAATAGAAAATGACCATACAGGAATATAGGTAAATTGCAGTTTTGCTATTTTTTAAAGAGTATACAAATATTGGTGTTTTAAAAAACAACAAGGAATTATTGGCAGAGATTGAGAATGTCTGAAAGGTAATCTGATTGAAGTAAAGAATATATTGTGAAACTCAGACCAGGATCATTGGTAATTAATTTTAAAAATTAGAGCATTTTATAAAAATCTCTTGGCAAGGAGAAGTAGATATTACTACAAACACTCTCACACCAATTACTTATTGAAGATAAGAAGACATTTATCATGGAAATTCTATTTTTCATCTGAAGTTTATTACATACAACTTTATTAGGCTGCAGGTAATAGTCCAACATTCAGTGGCTAACCACATAGATTTATGCATTTCTTGTGTATCACGAAGTCCAGAATTAGGTAATCTAATGAACCTAAGATGTCATTAATATTTAGACAACTTTTATTTTAGTTCAGTTGTCTTTAACCTGCAGCTTTCAACTTCCTGGTTGAATGAAAGTTGGTTCTTGATTTCTCAAGCATGACATTTGAGTTAGATGAAAGCAGAAAGAAGAGCATAGCTAAGAAAAAAAGGAAAAGCTTCCTTATTTATATTTTAAGTTATTCTCTTAAAATGGGTCAGTTAATTTGTCGTTGATCAGAACAATGTAATATAGACACCCAGCAAAAAATAAACTTGAGAGACTGGAAATTAGAGAAAGACAAAGGAAAATGAGGCTGAGATGTCACATGGCTGATATACATTGTCACATTACAAATATACTTTTAAAGTTACTCTTATAGTGAAATAAAGAAACTTATTTACAATGAAATATTTTTGTTTTTATAAAATACTAAGATTAAAAAATCTCTCTAGGTTTTGACAGAAAAAAAGAAGAAAAAAAACTCCAGTAAACCTCCTCTGACAAATATAGTAAAGATTCTGCTACTTAGATTAGGGTTAGCCTATTATTGTTCAGTTAATATCCACTTTCCTACACCATGCCACACACACACATACATTTCCATGGAAAGAGTGTTTCTCAGACCATAAACATGGAGCTTTGTCACATGAACTTTTTTTTTTTACTTTATGATTGCTAAAGTATACTTTGATGTGCTTTTGAATTGAAGTTTGGACATTTGATTTGCTTTTCCCAATGGGAATCTAGTGGATGAGAAGTGACCTTAGGCTTGAAATGAGATGAGCAGTTAGTCTTGTTCTATAGCAGTGATGGCAAACCTTTTGAGCTCGGCATGTCAGCATTTTGAAAAACCCTAACTTAACTCTGGTGCCGTGTTCACATCTAGAAATTTTTTGATATTTGCAACCATAGTAAAACAAACAAAGACTTATATTTTTGATATTAATTTTATATATTTAAATGCCATTTAACAAAGAAAAATCAACCAAAAAAAATGAGTTCGCATGTCACCTCTGACACGCGTGTCATAGGTTCGCCATCACTGTTCTATAGTGTCCTGTCATTTACAATTGAAAGAGTATTTATTGTTTGTTACTTGTCCAAATAAGATCAGAGGCAGAGAAAGCAGACCTTTGTCCATTGTTTAGTGCCAAGCCCAGCCAAATCTTGGCTAGGTAAATCAGATCCCAACTCACAAATGAGTGAGCAAAAATAAATGTTTATGTTTGAGAGTCATGAAAATTTTTAGGTCGGGGGCTTTGCAGCATTATTTTGACAATAAACGATTGATTCTTGTTGGAAAAAACAATGCTCCTTGAAAATTAGGTTAGTTGCCTGGGAATGCCAAACTTTGTATATATTTCTCATATAATGCTCTCTGTGCTAGTGATTCATGTTTACTGTTACTTTTCTTAACAGAATATTAACTTGCAGAGGCCAATTCAAGTGATGTAATGAATATCCATGCCACCCAATCTTTAATAATTCCTTAAGATTATCATACTTATAAAATAAAGCTCATAAAACCAAGACATAAAATAGCAACTATTTACAAATGATGAGATAGCCATTTGAATGTATCTAGATTTCAAAGATGGCATGTAGCAACAAGTAGTGACCACTGTTTTAATATAATATGATTTAAATTCATGCTACATATAAAGGAAATAGTAGGTCTTATTCAAGGAAGACACGCAGAGGATCTGCCCAGAATAACTTCTTCTTGTCAAGAAATAAGAATAGTCTGATATTTTTCTGTACTTGTTAGCTATCATGTTTGCCTGTCGGTTCCATGGATGTTGGCAGAAAGCCTAGGACAACTGGGTCAGTGTGTTATTGTCATTAGGATATAGATTCATAGAGCTGAATAGAATCCAGATATAAAGATATTCATGACTCGGGCCGAGGCGGCGAGCGGCGGACCAGCAACTCCGGAGGGCAGGGGGCTGTCCGGCCCCCTCTGTGCCCCCCCAGCCCTGCCTGAGTGGACTCGAGGGCCGGCCGCTGTCCACTCCCCAGGCCCACTCTGCCCTCTGGCCCCAGCCATGGCGCCCCTGCTGGCCCTGTTCCTGGTGGCCCTGGTGGGCCTGCCTCTGGCCCAGGCCCTGGACTGCCACGTGTGTGCCTACAACGGGGAGAACTGCTTCAACCCCATGCGCTGCCCGTCCATGGTCACCTACTGCATGACCACGCGCACCTACTTCACCCCGACCAAGATGAAGGTGAGCAAGTCGTGCGTGCCCAGCTGCTTCGAGACCGTGTACGATGGCTACTCCAAGCACGCCTCCACCACCGTCTGCTGCCAGTACGACCTCTGCAACGGCGCCGGCCTCGCCGCCGCGGGGACCCCGGCCCTGGTCCCGGTGCTCCTGGCTGCCCTCTGGGGTCTGCTCTGAACCCCTGCCTGCCCCTCCCCGAGGAGCCATCAAGGACGAAGCTCAGAGAGGCACACGCCACCCGCTCACCTTGCCCCTTGCCGCTCCCCGACCCCCAGCCACGCTCAGGACTGTCTGCGAGGCCCCGGGCCTCCGAGCTCCTGAGCTCCCCCCCACCTTTGGGCCTCGCTCCCGGGCCACGGCCTGTCCATGTCAAAAGGCGGGTGCGGGCCTGGCCCTCTGGAGGCGTCTGGCCGGGTGGGAGAGCTCGGCCCTCCGTCCCAGGATGGGGCGCCCAGCCTGCGAGCTGTTTATGGGGGCCTCGGTGGGCCCCCCTTCCTCGCAGCCCTGGAGCGAGGGCCCTTGGAGGAGCGCCTCGGTCCCCAGCTGTCCAGGGAGGGTGTCAGCTTGGGGTCAGTCAGGACGAGGGCTCAAGGTCTGGGGTTGGGGGATTACTCAGTGCTGCTCTCGCTATTGTAACGCCTAGCACAGTGTCTGCAGACGCAGCTGTAACGGGGGAGCTTGCCGGGAACCACGGGGTACGCTCAGCCACCTGCGAATGGGAAACCCGCCCGGAACTGACCAAATAGTGGGCCCAGGCGCTGGCCAAGCCTTTCCGGGAGAGGGGGCTAGATGAGCCCACCTCCTTCCCTTGTAAGTAAATAAAGCTCCCAGACAACCAGAAAAAAAAAAAAGATATTCATATAAAATAAATTTATTTTCATTCAATGGGCTGAGTAATAAGAACGAGTAGTGGTTTGTTGTTGTTATTGTTTGTTTGTTTTTTAAAATATTGCACCAGAACAACTGAATAAATATATGGAGAAAACAAATGAACTTAGAGTGGTGTTGGTGCAGATGGCAAAGACCACCAAATAGCTTCTCCTTCATAAAAACAATAATACTGAAAAAATATTTCCTTAGAAGTTTAAAAACAAACCAGATTCTTGGAGTGTTTACTCAAGGAAAATAGCATAATATTGGTAAGAAAGAGGAGCTCTATGACATTTTAATTTTTTATGTTTTCATCTCCATCTTTCCAGCTCCATAGTAGCATAAAAACCAGGAGTCGTACATTCAGAGCAGCTGTGAAAACAAGCAGGCTGGCAGTCGCTGGAGGAACATAAAGGGTTTAATGTTTCCAAAAACCAAATTTCTAAAGAATTATCATTAGCAGAAAGTGCAATCAAGAAATAAAGGCTAAGCCAGAGTTGTCAACTGCCTGATTGAGTATTGAAGGCATGCACCAAATTGTAAAGGTGGAAGGAACTACTAGTTTAAGGCATTTAGAGGAACCTTCTCTAATTATTAGGTGACCACTTTGCTAACTGAGCAGAGAATTGTACAGACATACATGACTAAAAAATATAGACTTAACAAACTTAGTTCAACTAAGTCACTATAAGCAGCAGCAAAAACAAAAATATCAATGATAACAAAATCTTGGGAGAAGAAATTTAATTTCCACATTATATTATTTTAAAAATCCAGTTTTCAATAAAATCTTATGAGATATGCAAAGAAAGAGGAAATTATGGCACATACACATGAAAAATAAGTCAACAGAAACTATCCCTGAGGAAAACAGACGTTAGACATACTATAAAAGTTTTTACAGAAGCTATTTTAAATTAGTTCAAATCACTAAAGGAAATGATGTATAAAGTGCTAAAAGAAAGTATGTGAGTAATACCTCAACAAATTGCAATACTTCCAAAAAAGATTTTTTTAAATCTCACCAAATTAAAAAAAAATTAATATAGAGATAAAATTATTAAAAAGTCTCAAATAAGAAGTGTGAAGTTTAAAAATATAACAAGAATTTAAAAAATAATTCTAGAAGGGCTCAAGCATATATTTAAAAAGTCAGAAAAAAAATCAGTGAACTGGAAGGTAAATTATGCAACCACATTCCTTTTCCTTATAATTCCTTTCCTGTATAATTCTATAGATAACTCTTTCCCATATAATCCATCTTCATGGATTCCAGATATTAGGAAGTGAGCATCTTTAATGCTCACTATTCTACCTATCACATTTTATAAGATTAAAATCTTAGATTTCATCATAAACCAAAAACAACCAGAAAGCAGTACAATAATATATTCAACGCACTGAAAGATACTGCAGTGAACCAAGAATTCTACTTCTGCAAAACTATCTTTCAAATGTGTCAGAAAAAATTAAACATTTAAAAGTGAAATAAAAACAGAATACATTGCTAGCAGACCTGCACTACAAAATGTTTAAAGGAAGTCTTTCTGGAAGAAATAGACAAATTTAAACATTTGTCTTCTGTTTCTTTCTAGGTAATTATACCAAATAAGAATACACAGTATTAAAATGTAATTTCTCTTTAGTTTAGAAAGTTTGTTGCAAATATAATTAGTTTATAGTGCATCCTGTGGTTATTAAATTGTTTTTCATTTTGCTAATGACTGGTAGAAATTAAATTTCATCAATAATTTAAACTCATACAAAAATTAAAACACAAGCATTACTGTGGGAATTACAAGTTTGTCATTTTTAGAAAAATAGAATAATAAATCATCCACTCCTGGTATCTAAGTTATTATCAATGGTTTAAGACTGGTCCTTCTTCAGCTTTTTTATTCATCTATTTATTTTCCTTTCACTACTCCTTTAACTCTTTACTGGCTTGTGAATCTGATAACCAGCTTTTGACAGCTGATAATGGAAGCTATCACGTCAAAGCAATGTGGTAACACTTTCCACCCGTTTAATAGGGACAAACAGATGGGGTGTTAGGGTAGCAAACAAATTGTTTTCCTTGTCCTCCTCCTTTGGTAGGCTAGCCTTGATAGTGATCCGAAGGGACAGTGCATTAAATATACCAACTTGCACTTAGCTCCATAAAATACCTTATTCAATTCTAGATATGTGCCTGCTGAGAAATGTCTCCCCCCACCCCCATGAAGTTTGTGTGCAGTTGAATAAAGTCTACTTTGGGAATAAATGCCATTGTTATTTCTGCATAGAAAACAATCTTCTATACCTGAAGACCATACCTTTATTAGAGAAATGAGTGAGCACCAGTTTAAACAGCATCCTTCTTTCCCTCCAGGAACATTGTATGTAATGTTGTACTCTTTGGCAATTAGTCCCTTGCCTATCTAATCCATATTTCCAGACACTCAGACAGACTTGTTCCAATATCTGGTAAAATTATCTTCCTTTATGAGAAGAATTAAAGACTATGAGCCAATGATTTATCACCTCAGTATCAAATCAGCTGCACTGCCAAACTTTCTCTTAAATGACACTTCAGTCTTAATTCCAATTATTTGTATTGTTGTCTGTGATCATGCCAACACCTTGCCTTTTAGGTCCAGCAACTTGGTCCTTTTCGTATGTTTCTAAGGTAAACACTTCCAAATAGATGATTGTGTTAGTTTTTATCTTTGTATGTGATGTCTAGCATTGTTTTTGGAACATCCAATTTTAAAGTTGCCATTGAAATTCATCCTTTCCTTTAGAACTGGCCATTGCTGTGCTACTTCCATTATTTCTCATAACTAGAGACCTGTCCTTAAACCTAAGGCCTTCTAATCCCTGGTATTAGCAACCAACTCTCACTTGTATCTAATAATTTAGATTTCTCTGTAGGGTTCTATTTTTCTCCATTTTAATTCAAAAGTTAAACTGAATAAGTATTTCAGCATCTCCTAGGAAGATAGCTTCTCACAAGCCTTTGGATCTGCTTAGCCTCTTATTTCTGTCCACTCTTGCCATTGTAATTAGCTAGTTATTAATGACTAGAGGCCCAGTGCACAAAAATTTGTGAACTCGAGGAGGTCCCTCAGCCCGGCCTGTGCCCTCTCGCAGTCTGGGACCTCTTAGGGAATGACCACCTGCTGGCTTAGGCCTGCTTGCCAGGGGATTGGGTCTAAGCTGGCAGTCAGACATCCCTCTGGCAGCCTGGGAGCCCTCGAGGGATGTCCACTTGCCAGCGGAGAGCAGAACTAAGCTGCAGTCGGACATCCTTAGCGCTGCTGAGGAGGCAGGAGAGGCTCCCACCACCACTGCTGTACTGGCAGCCAGAAGCCTGGCTTGTGGCTGAGCAGAGCTCCCCCTGTGGGAGCGCACTGACCACCAGGGGGCAGCTCCTACATTGAGCATCTGCCCCCTGGTGGTCAGTGTGTGTCATAGTGACCAGTCATTCCCAGTCGCTCTGCTGTTAGGGTCAATTTGCATATTACTCTTTTATTATATAGGATAGAGATCTGGTGCATGGGTGGGGGCTGGCTGATTTGCCCTGTAGGGTGTCCTGTATCAGGGTGGGGGTCCCGCTGGGATGCCTGACCAGCCTGGGTGAGGGGCTGAGGGCCGTTTTCAGACTGGCCACACCCCCTTCAGGGCAGGGGTCCCTGTTGGGGTGCCTGGCCAGCCTGGGTGAGGGGCTGATGGCTGTGTTCAGGCTGGCCAAGCCCCCAGCGAGGACCCTCACCCCATGAGGGTATGGCCAGCCTGGGTGAGGGGCTGATGGCTCTTTGCAGGCTGGCCACAGCCCCCAGCCACCCAAGCTCCCAATGGAGGCTGGCTGGAAGCAGGTATCTGGGATTTATTTAGCTTCTATAATTGAAACTTTGTTGCCTTTTGTGGAAGCCACTGTCGGCCAGGTTAGGCAGGAAGCTTGGCTTCCTCCATCGCCAGGGCAACCAAGCCTCCTGCTTGCTCCAGCTTCGTGGCTTCCGACCGCCATCTTGGTTGGGTTAATTTGCATATAGTCGCTCTGATTGGCTGGTGGGCATGGCTTGGGTGTAGTGAAGGTAGCAATTAGCATCTTTGTCTTTTATTAATGTAGATAGGAAATGAGCAAAGGGCATAGATAGGTATGTCATTTGGGCAGATTCACCTGGAAGATGCAACTTTGCACTCCCCAGGGAACCACCCACCTATTCCCTGTAAAACAATGGGGTTAAACAAAGAGAAGATAGATGGCCATAACAGGTTTGGCTCAGTGGATAGAGTGTCGACCTGCAGACTGAAAGGTCCCAGGTTCAGTTCTGGTCAAGGGCATGTACCTTGGTTGCAGGCACATCCCCAGTGTGGGGTGTGCAGGAGGCAGCCTGTCGTTTCTCTCTCATCGATGTTTCTAGCTCTCTGTCCCTCTCCCTTCCTCTCTGTAAAAAATCAATAAAATATATTTAAAAAAAGAGAAGATAGATGCATGCCCAGTAAAGTTGGGGTGATGCAAGGAAGATACTTTCCTGTCAATCACACCTAGGAACAGCTATCATTGGCCAGAATTAGCACACAAAAATTAGGGAATACGTAATCCCCCAAATGAAGGAATTCTCTCTCTTATTGCACTTGGTTCTTGGCTGTGGGGCTCTTTGGTTTTGTTCCTTCCCATGTTTCCTCCAAACCATGTGGCCCTGCAGCCTCCACATGCAATGGACTAGTAGACTTCAGTGGGAAACACAAGCTAAGCTAGCCTGGTGCTGGACTAGACATTGCTTTAATATGGATAGAAAACTCTGGACAGCGGCTCTGATTTTAGCTCTACTGAAGCCCCAGCTACACATCTGACTGGACTAAGGGAAATGGGACTTGGAAACCCAGAAGTGTAATTCCGTGGAAATAAAGCATTCTACTGCACCACATCCTCCCGTGGGAGTTTCTGAAAACCCCTTTTCTTGGGATATCAAAAGACTTCTACTCCCACTAGCAA